AAGTACGCATTCAGGTTCTACCACGTGCCAGGCACTATTCTGGTCATTGAAGGTACACAGCAAATAAGGCAAAGACATGCATGGTCCTGTTCCTATGGCACTTATGAGCAAGATCAGTTAGAAAGTTACTGCAATTGTCCTGGCTAGGGATAAAGATGGAACATTGGTTGGTTGCTATAAGAGGGGTGGTGAAAAGTAGATGGATTCACGATGCATTTTAGAGATAGAAACAAGTGGACTTGCTAATAGGCTGGGAGTAAAGTCAGACAAACAGATAAAAGAATCCAGGGCAATGCCCTCTTTTGGGGCCTGAGCAACAAGGCAGGTTATCTTTTTTTTTTTTCTTGGGTGGGGGAGGATTGAGGAGAAATAATGTGGGTATTGAGAGGGTTGGTGGTAGAAAGGCACAGGGGAGTTGGAAGTTAAGAATTTTGTTTTAGATACATTATATTTCAGATACCCATTGGATATACATGCATAAAGGTCAGGTAGGTGGTAGTGCAGAATGAGTGAACCCATACCACAAAATGTAAACTTTTTGAATTTAATAGAATTCTCTTAAGCATACCTATATTTGACCAAGCACAAATGATATGCAATGGGGTTAATTTCTAGATCCTCTTCACAAAGTACGATGGAAAACCATTCCCTAATTTGGCTAAGTGGGGAGCTTTAGCAAGTCAAATGTGAATATTCCTTTCCATTTTCTATATCCTATTTTTCTGTATGTATCACATTTTCTTACCCTTTGGCAGTGTTGTTGTTTTCTTAAGTTAGGACTTATCGTACCTGTTGAAAATGGGCAGCTATTATTTCTATGTCATTGTTCAATGTCCACTTTATGTATTGGGTCTTATTTCATTCAATGTTTCGTACAATGTTAGTCATGTCTTTCAGTTAGTATAGCACTGCAGCTTTCTGCATCTAGTAGAAGTATTATGTTGTTTTTATTCATCTGCTTCCAAGTTCTGGATGGTAATGGTGGAGAGCAGGGTGGCATGTAGAGTCTACCTTCTTTCCTTTTGGTGGGACTAATCCCTTTCTGGTTGTGATTTCTGTTGAGAATGGGGAGAAACCCAGATAGCAGGTCTCTATAATACTACTGACTACCTCAAGGATGTCAGTTTTTAACATACCCTAGTATTGCTTTGCTGCCATTAACAAATGCCATTCTTATTTTTGTGTTACAATTTTTTTTTAAGATTTTTATTGGGGAATTGGGGGATGGGAATAGTGCTGGGGAATTGGGGGAAGGGGAACAGACTAGTTGCTGTCATTTTGTTCTTCAGTCTAGTTGTGGAGGACGTTGCTTCACTGGCCCAAGTAGGCACCATCATTGCACTCTTCCCAGGTGAGGCACATCAGTCGACAGCTTCTGGACGGCCACTCACAGCGGCTGCTGCCGGCTCACGCTGGCTGCTTGCTACACACGGTAGCCCATGGCAACCCACTGCAGCAGGGGCTGCAGTTTACTCTGTCGCAGGCGACTCTGGGCAGCCCAGCTCCAGGTTGAGCTGTTGTTCAGCATCTTAGCTGCAGAGGGCAGCATCACTGGCCCTCATATGTGGGATCTGAACCTGGGCCCTCTGGCGTCCCAAGCCAACTCCCAACCAACCCGCCACTCGGCCGGCCCTCCTTTGTCTATTTTTGAATTGGGTTGTTTATCTTTTTATTATTGAGTTGTAAGGGTTCCTTATTGTAGTGTAAGTGAATGGCAATTAGCTTTTTGGATTGTAATGTAAGTAAGTTTCTGACATTAAGCTTTTGATTGCCAACACATCTACTTCAACATATCCATCTCGAATAAACATATTGCCAGCTACACAATCAGATAAAGAGCCAGACTGCTCCACCCATGGAGTTTCCCCATTTTTTAGAAACCTCTGGTTGACCTAAATAGCTGATTGTTTGACCTCTTGTTTTCCACTTCCCGTACTTAAATCCCACACTTTTATTTTAAATTCAAAAAGAGGAAAACCACAAAACTCCAGGCAACCCACTCTTGACCCAAATAAAGGCAGAACCCCAGGTGTTCTCTCTCTCTCTTTTCCTCTCTCTCCTCCACTCCCCTCATCTGTAGCTATAGGTGTGTTGTGTACCCTCCAGGACCTGTGAACACTAATCCTTGTTTATTTCAAAGTTTCCTGATGGCTGTTGCTGAGGTACATCTTGCAATCATAATAAGAACCACAAGGGCCAGTCCAGCCACAACACTGGCTCCAGTCAGGGAAATGTCAGGGGACGTGGGCTGGCCATAGTAGTATGGGCCCATGTGAGTGTGCCCTGACATTTATAGGAGATAACACCACTATCACTAGGCTAAAACTGACCCAAAACACTTATATGAGGTGTGATCAAAACCTATGATGAATGTTGCTACTCAGTGCCATCCAACAGAAAGACGGATATTCCATAAGGAAAACAGTGCAACGAACCTTAGTAACAGTGTGTGACAAGGTCCAACTTGTTCGGTGCAGTCAGTCAGGTGTGAGCTATGGTTGAGAGAAGGTGTGTTTTAAAGTGTGCCGTAAATCATCCTCCATTATGACAGTGCTCCATGTCACACATCACTTCTGGCATATGGCAATTTCTGTCAAATAAAAGCATTACGGTGTGTCCTCTTCTACCTTATTCACTGGATGTGGTGCCAGGTGACTTTTGGCTCTTCCCCAAAGTCAAAATTATTCAGGACATCAAGGCAGCCACGACATCACAACTAAAGACACTCATGAAAGAGGACTTCCAGAACTGCTTCAGAAAGTGGCAAGAATGATGGAATAAGTGTGTTCGAAGCAAGGAGGAGTATTCTGAAGGGGGTTAATGGCAATCTGTATTTTACTGTAAATTTAAAAATTCACCGTATTTTCTGATCACACTTTGTATATTCTGGATACAAGGTCCTTATATATATATGGTTTGAAAATATTTTGTCCCATTCTTTGTGTTGTCTTTTCATTTTCTTGATGGTGTCTTGAAACACAGGAATTTTTTTTTAAGTTTGATAATGGTTAATTTCTCTCTCTCTCTTCTCTCTCTCTCTCTCTCTCTCTCTCTCTTTTGGTGGCTCTTGCTTTTGTGTCATATATAGGAACCATTTCTAAATCCAAAGTCATGAAGATTTACCTCTATATTTCCTTTTAAGAGTTTTAAAAAAATATTTATTAATTTTTTTAGTTACAGTGACATTCAATATTATTTTATATTAATTTCAGAAGTACAGCATAGTGGTCAGACATGTATATAATTTATGCAGTGATTCACCCCAATTGGTCTAGTACCCACCTGTACCATAAATAGCTATTACAATACTATTGACTATATTCACTATGCTGTACTTTACATCCCCATGACTATTTTCTAATTGTCAATTTGTACTTCTTAATATCTTCACCTTTTTCAACCTGCCATCTATCCTCTCTTATCTGGTGACCATCAGTTTGTTCTCTGTATCTACGAGTCTGTTTTTGTTTTTGTTTGTTTTGTTCTTTAGATTCCACATATGAGGTATGATCGAAAATGATGGAGTACGTTTAAATTTTTTAAAAAAGCAACTTATTACAGTAAAGGCACACTGCCATGAATCCCCCTCACTTCAAACACACTTTTCCCATCATTCTTGCCACTTTCTGAAGCAGTTCTGGAAGTCTCCTTTCCTGAGTGTCTTTACTTCATCCTCCATCATGACAACGCTCCATGTCACACATCACTTCTGGTACGGCAATTTCTGTCATATAAATACATTATGATCATTTTGTGAGTTATATAAATGTCTAATCACTATTGTACACCTGAAATTAATATAATATTGTATGCTAACTGTAATTGAAAAATTAAAAAAATATATAAAAATAACAAATGGGACAACATCAAACTAAAAAGCTTGTGCCCAGCAAGGGAAACCATCAAAAAACAAACAAACAAACGAAAAACATTATGGTGTGTCCTCATCTACCTTATTCACCAGATCTGGCACCATGTGACTTCTGGCATTTCCCCAAAGTCAAAATGACCGAGAAAGGTAAACGTTTTGAATTAATTCAGGACATTGAGGCAGCCATGACAGCACAACTAAAGACACTTACAAAAGAGAACTTCTAGAACTGCTTCAGAGAGTGGCCAGAATGATGGGATAAGTGTGTTCAAAGGGAGAGGAAGTATTTTGAGGGAGATTAATGGCAATGTGTCTTTTACTGTAATAATTTTTTAATTTAAGCATTTGCTGTATTTTTTATCACACCTCATATAAGCGAGGCATTTGTTTTTCTCTGTCCGACTTATTTCACTTAGCATAGTACCCTCTAGCCCATCCATGTTGTAACAAGTGGTGAAATTTCATTTTTTTATGGCTGAGTGATATTCCTTTGTATATACACACCACCTCTTCTTTATCCAATCATCTATTGATGGTCACTTAGGTTGCTTCCATATCTTGGCTATTGTAAATAGCACTGCAGAGAACATAGGGGTGCGTATATCTTTTCTAATTAGTGCTTTGGATTTCTTTGGCTAAATACTCAGCCAAAGATATAAAGTACAACATAGAAAATATAGTTAATAATATTGTAATAACTATGTATGTGTCAGATGCATAATCAATTTACTGGGGTTATCACTTTGTGAAGTATACGAACTTATGACAATTAAGTTCATGAACTCATCCTAGGAAAAGTGCTACATACCTCATTGCTGAATATCACTATGGTCACCTTCAAAGTACTCCCCTTGGGAAGCTATGCACTGACGCCAGTGCCTAGTTCACTCTTCAAAGCAATTTGGGAACTCTTGTTCTGGAATGGCCATCAAAGCTGTCATTGTATTACCCTTGATGTCCTGAATGTCATCAAAATGTCTTCCTTTCAATATTTCCTTTATCTTTGGGTAAATAAAGAAGNTGGGCAGCCCAGCTCCAGGTTGAGCTGTTGTTCAGCATCTTAGCTGTAGAGGGCAGTGTCACTGGCCCTCATATGTGGGATCCGAACCGGGGCCCTTTGGTGTCCCAAGCCAGTTCTTAATCATCGCGCCACTCGGCCGGCCCTGTGTTACAATTTTTTAAAGTCTATATTTTATCTCTTACAGGTTCAGTTTTTATGGTGATTTATTATTAATTTTTTTCTAAAGAACGGAGATAATTGTGGGGGTAGAGGAGAGAGAAAATTGGAAGTATTAAAAGCCCCCTCACTATGCTTTTCTTTCTACTCTTGATATATGTCAAAATTTTTACAGTTTTTCATTTGAATATGCTATGTTTGATGTCAATGGATATTAGCATGATTTTCCAACCAAGAATTTTCACTCTGAAGTGTCCCAGGTAGACTCAGGCATATGAATCATGTGTCTAAAAAGGAAACTCAAAAAAGTATGTATGCATGCTAGGGGGCTCATTTGTCTTTGGCAAAGACATTGCAGCTCCTGTTTCCTTAATTATTAAACAGATGGTGCTCCCTGCCATTGACTGGCTGCCCAACATGTTCTCCATGTGGTAGCACAGTTCTAGACATCTGATGGGAGAAGTGGTATCATCACAGCCCCTGCCTGATACCCATTTATGTCATAATATTAATATTAATACCTGCCTTTAACTAGAGCAGGCTGCTACCCATGCAGCTAAATTTAAGATTAAGCCATCTTCTCCTCTACTGCCATGAATTAATGTTATCTCAAGTATCTCCTTTGGCTTTTCTTTATATTGCTTCATCGCGACCTACAAAATACAGTGGCATATTGAACTAATTGTTCAAATACTGGAGTACAGGCTATAAACATACTTTAACCTGGAAGGTCAAGATAATGAAGACAAAATTGGATAATTATTGATATTGTTATTACTTAGGGCAAGTGACATCTCAGGTAGTCATATTAAAAATGAATACGAGTGGACTGTCATATTGTTCTAAGTGTTAAAAGAAACTAGCCCGACATTGATAGATTTTTAAAAGTCCATTGAACAGATACTCAATTATTTTTCATAATCTGCCAAAAAAGTTAGTTTTACATTTTCCTTTCGTTTCTCAAATACTATATTACTACAGTTACATGAACAGTGTACCCTGTAAACATTATTAACAAGGGTCCCAGTTTTTTTCTCATAAATTCTCTTCATGGTAGACATAGTATTTCACAACCATGGACAGTCTTCTAAGATCGTTTCTAGTGGTAACCTACCGGTTCTCTCCTTTCCCTTGACATTTCTTAATTTCTGATTGACTTTTCAGGCTTCCTAAATTTATAAACCTGGAAGCTAGGGTCACTTAATCCCAGTGTAATTTACCATCCACCACCACCAACTGTTGACTAGTACTCTCATACCGTGGATTTTTTTTAAAGTATATACTTTTTAAATGGATGCCTCTGCCCCTTCTCTTTAATAATGCAAATGTGATGTAGGTAACTTGCTGAGATTTTCCATCATTTGAACCAACAGGAAAAGCTTGAGTTCTCTGTTGAAAAAACACCGCCAAGCAGGAGCAGCCAAAACATCACACTGCCACCTGAAATTGGTTTGGGGTTGTAACTGACTTGAAAGCCTATCAGCATCTTTGAATCAGACAGTAGATGTGGCTGTCATTTTTAATGACAGTAGGAAGTACGTTGGTTCCCATCACCTGTCAAGTGGCCACCAGGATCCTTTTTTCCCAGGGCCAGCCGCAGACTCCCGCGCCCAATGGCTGCGGTGAGCTGAGCGGTGGACCTCCACCCCCCACCACCCCAGCAACCCTTTCTCAGGGGGCTGGAAGTGTGGGCCTCGCTCCGGAGAGGAGAGGTGGAGCTGAGAGCAGCGCCTTCTCCGGGGAAGGAGGCGGGAGCTCGTCTGGGAAAGCTTTCCTAGGGAGTTGCCTTAAAGAAAGAAAGCGGAATTACTGATCACTTCACTTGCCTGCTTTTTAAGTACAGTTTTAAGCACTAGTTTCTATTCGCTTCCCTTCTGCAAAACTGCAAATTACCACCAGCCTCACACCGAAAAACGGGGTGGGGGGGGGGAAGGAGAGCAAATCTCATTCTCCTTTCTCACCCTCCCTTTCCTCTCACCCTCCCTTCCTCTCCAGCTCGCTCTCTCTACCTCCCTCCCTCCCTTCTCTGGCGGCAGCCGTTCGTCTCTCCGACTGTGTGTCTCTTCGACGGGACTTAGCAACTTCTTGGTTATTTCTCAGCCCCTTTTCCATTTTTTCCACCCTTTACCATGAACTGGACCGACAAACGCAGGGAAGGCTTTGCTTTCTGCCCCTGGGAATGGCGGTTCGCTTCCTGGGGCCGTGCGGGGGAGGATCGGCCGAGGAGAAAGAAAGAGTGATAGAGAAAGAGCTGCAGGAAGGAAGAGAAGGGGGGACCTCCATCTGCCGCGGGCCGGGCGCGCAGCAGCGCCGAGCGGAGCTGCGCCGGAGATGGCCCCGAGCTCGCCCTGTACCCCTGGCTCCTCCAGCGTCTGCTGCCCCGGTGCGCCCGACGCTTCGGGCAATTTTTAAAATTCTGAAGTAGGAAGAGACCCTGAAGGATATCAGTCGGGGTGGAGGTGGAGCAGAGAATTTGAAAAGCATTTCAGACAGCAAGGGAGGAAGTCTTGTTTCTGCTGGTGCTAGCTCTTAACTTGAAGGCGTCTCTTTGGAGCATCTAGTCTTCTCCAGGAGTTATTCGAAAGCGGAAACTTTTAGTGGCTCGTGGGCCTAGGGAGAAGGAGGGAATCCGAGGCTGGGACTGGGAAGAGAGAGGGAGTGTGTGTGTGTGCGTACCCCGGGGTGGGGGCGTTGGGAAGTCCGTGAAGGGGGCACACCATGGCAGTGACTGACCAGGCCGCCCGAATCAATGACAGGCTAGGCCACGGTGGGGTGAGGGAAGCCCCCGCGGCGGGCCCGGACTGCCCGAGTTGCGCGGGCCGCGCATCGCCGCGGGACTCCAGCTGCAGCGGCTGCTGGGGAGATCTGCTTCTGCAGCCGTTCCGGCGCTCCGGGAAACTTTCCTCGGCGCTGTGCGCGGGCTCCCTGTCCTTCCTGCTGGCGCTCCTGGTGAGGCTGGTCCGCGGGGAGATCGGCTGTGACCTGAAGCAGAGTAAGGAGGCGGCGGAGGAGGAGGAGGAGGAAGCGGCCCCGGGAGCAGAAGGGGGCGTCTTCCCGGGGCCTCGGGGAGGTGCTCCCGGGGGCGGCGCGCAGCTCAGCCCCTGGCTGCAGCCCTCAGCGCTGCTCTTCAGTCTCCTGTGTGCCTTCTTCTGGATGGGCTTGTACCTCCTGCGCGCCGGGGTGCGCCTGCCTCTGGCGGTTGCGCTGCTGGCCGCCTGCTGCGTGGGGGAAGCGCTGGTTCAGATTGGGCTGGGCGTCGGGGACGATCATTTACTCTCGCTCCCAGCGGCGGGAGTGGTGCTCAGCTGCTTGGCCGCCGCGACATGGCTGGTGCTGAGGCTGAGGCTGTGCGTCCTCATGATCGCCTTGACTAGCGCGGTCAGGACCGTGTCCCTCATTTCCTTAGAGAGGTTCCAGGTCGCCTGGAGACCTTACCTGGCGTACTTGGCCGGCGTGCTGGGGATCCTCCTGGCCAGGTACGTGGAGCAAATCTTGCCGCAGTCCGCGCGGGCGGCCACAAGGGAGCATTTTGGGTCCCAGCTGATTGCTGGGACCAAGGAAGATACCCCGGTGTTTAAAAGGAGGAGGCGGTCTAGCTCCGTGGTGTCCGCCGAGATGTCAGGGTGCAGCAGCAAGTCCCACCGGAGGACCTCCCTGCCTTGCATACCGAGGGAACAGGTAAGCCCTGGCGGCTCCATTCTCTCACTTTTCGGGAAAACTTGAAACACTTTTGGGAACCGGCGCGACGTGGAGGGAAATCGAGTGCTGGGAGCTAAAGGAAAGAGAGCCTAGAAAAGTGGTGTAACTTAAGACAGTAGAAAAGAAGCGACTTTTACTCCCCCTCTCACACTTTATGAACAACAGGAACACGAATAAGTAATAAAACTAGATGGCATTTGCAGAGCCTTCCACAGCTGGGCCAACTTTTTAGATCTGCTACACCTGGTGTGTGGCTGCCTTACACTTTTTAAGGACCCTCATGCTTTCCTGCTTTAGCAGGAATTTCCTAATTAAGTTTAGTTTTTAAGCAGTGAGTGGTTTTTTTTTAAACACGTGTAGTTTGCTAGATATTTTTCTATTTCTTGTTATTTATTTTTTTATTCTAAAGGGACAGGTAAACGTTTATGGAAGTCAGTAAAAAACGAGTCTAGAGTAAATCAAGGAATACCTGACGGTGAGGTATTGACACACGCTTTCTGGTTTTGCAGTAAGTTTTCCTTGAAGAGCCTGCATCTGGGGGTGCCCAGTTTGTTTTTACATGTAATTTGGGAACATATGTTATTACATGCTAATGTGTTTTGTATTATAATTTGGAGATCAATATGTCTGGACTTAAGAATTTGTCAAAATCGTGAACTGTGCTGTGAGTGTCAACTAAAAAAACATTTTTCTTGAGTATACATATGTAAGTGAATATTTAGAAATTCAAATAGATTTATACAGGTTTTACAGGAGAAATTAACACAGGAGATTATTTCTAAGATGCTGGTGATATAAATCTTTCAGAAGGGAAGAGGAGGAGGACTAGAATTATGACTGAAGTTCTAGATAATAAAGTTTAGTGAATTTGGGGGCGGTGTGAATCGCATTATCATTAAGCTTTTTAAGACCATGGAATATAGTTGCTATAATGGGCATAAAAGAACAAATCCTAATTTTAGATACAAATTATATTTGAAAAGGCATATTTAAGTGTTCACCTTTCTACTCTAAGCACACTTGACACTTCAGAATGAGTGATGGAAGATTGCTATGTACAGCAAGTGGAAATTTACACATTTCCCATATAAATTTGTGCCTACTTATGGTACTATTAGGACTTCAGGGAGTGAGAGGATATCCCAAGATATACTAAGCTTTTTTTATTTTTTTTTTTAGGTTATTCTGAGGATAATCATTTAGGTATTTCTAAGCAATTGCAGTCACCATATGGTATAGGTGGCTAGTTTGTTTCTGAAATGGAGTTGATTACACAGAATGTGATTGTTTGACATTATTTAGCAGAATGGATGACAGCACCATAGCCTCTCTTTATTTTAAATCAAATGTATTTATTTAGCTTTTCATTTAAATAAAGCAAATATTTTGTGCGTTTATACATAAAAGTGAAGTTTTAAAAGTGAAGCCGTAAGAGTGAAGTTAAAAACAGGGTGCTTGCTGGTACTTAGTTTTGGTAGAAATTTTGAAATCACCAGAATAAAATAAGCTATGTTTATGATAATTAAATTTAAAACAATTAGGGGGGGAACATTTTAATTTCTTTTCACCTTTATTGGAGAGAATGTCTTTTAAATGAAAATGCTACTAGTTTAAATGTGTTTAGAACACACTTTTCTTTAACTTATAGGGAAATATGATATGATCATTGCAAAATTGAACATAATTTCTAAGGTAAACCTGATTTAATGATAAATAGCTCGACTCCAAAGTAATATCATTTAACCTCTAAAACTGAATTTTCTGAAAATCCACTTTCACATTAGAAGTTAAGGAGTTAAGAGTGGATTTAAGATAAGGCTGCATTTAGAAGGATTAACCAGCAGTGTTAATTAACCCATAGATTTTTATTGGTTTTCTCTGGTTTGAATTGATACAACATTTGAATCATCTTCAAACTTACAAGAAAATAACTGAACATTGTATAAAAGTTTTGCTGATTAATGCTATTGAAAATGCATATTTGTAATCTATTTTGGTCATTTTCTTTGGTTACTATGTTTTTAAAGGCTGTGTTTATGAAGAATATTCTAAAGTGAAAGGCTTTATATCTTATGGTTGATGGGAAAACAAGGTTACATTTAACAGTTTAGATCCTTGATGTTTTAACGAGGCATGGGTGAGTGCGTAGGTGTTTCTTAAGACTAGTTTTTATATATGACACGTTAAAGTTGTTGCTGAGCATAATTGTTGGCGGTGGGTGGGAACTAAAAGGAACAGTATCTTACGAGATAGGGCAGTATCTCATACGTTAGCTTAACCGTGAAAAGTTCAGGAGCTATACAGTAAATGGCTTATCATTTTTATCATAAGGAAACAAACTTCTGATGAAGGGTGCAAAGTGTACCACTGTCATCTGCATACTTTATCAGGAATCAAAATCATTATCAAACACGTGTATAATACTCCCCTGAATGCTACCTGATTAGGATTTTTTTTTTTTTCTGAAAGACTGTCTACTCTCAGCTCAAGACAAATACTCAGGCAACAAGTGAACTTTAAATAGAGGTATAAAGACATAAAGCACTGAGAGTCTGGCAGAGGCCTCTTGAGAATTTATTTGGACTTTGCTCCTTATGAGGTTTAAAGGTGACAGAATTTCAGCCTTTTCTTTTCCATATGAATGATAGCAGCCACTTGCTTATGAACTCCCTTCAGTGACTCAATTCTAAAAGGTCAAGGAGAATAGATGATAAAATTCTTACAAAGACAAGCCAAGGGACATACGAGTATGTATTTCCCTCCCTCTCTTCTTTCCTTCCTGAACCATAATTAAGTCTATAGATTGGATATTGTCCATGGAATTGAGTTTTGCAGCACTGATGATAAAGATGACTTCGAGCAAGAAAGAAGTAGGTCTAGTCTTCAATTCACAGGATTAAGCCAATACTAGGTGTGTCTATAAATGCAAGTTGAAGGTATCTTTACATTCAGTAAAAAACAAAGTTTGTAACATTTGCGGGGCTTTTAGTACAGTTCTATCAGCTCAGTATCCTCAAGACGATGTTTTTGTGGATCAGTGTGCCCAACTATACTTTTTGTTTGGCAGTGTTAAGAAGGCAAATGTTTCCCTTGAGGTGTATGTGTCTTTTCTAAGTGGATGCTCACATCCAAGGGCAGGCATGTCCCAAGTTACCACTGTACCCTCCAAATGCTGCAATATACACAGGTACCTAGAATTTCTTGAATTACTAGGTATTATATGATTAACGCATATGATATTTTTCAACATAAAATTTTAACTATGCAAGTTTTACCATTTGGACTTTGTATTTGAGGGAGTGTCTCTCTATTCTCTTTATACATCAAAGAACAGAATTGGCTAGTTATTCCTGCCTAATTACTGTGACCACCCTACACATTCATTTTTGAAAGATTCTAAACCAATGCCATTTTCAGTTCCATGTTAAAAAGAATTAATTTTTTTTGCCTGTGGTTTCACATCAAATAAACACAAGACATATGACTGTTCATTAATCCATTTGTACCACTTAATTACAAATTTCTTTGTGATGGATACAATATTGCTCAGAAACGTGTAGCTAGATACTTTGTATTGTGTCACTAAAAATAAAAATTTTTTCCTACCAGTAGGAAAGTTCCTATGAGCTTTTTCCCAAAGCTCTCACACATCTTTGGAACAAGTAGGGGTTTTTTTTGTAGGAATGTCATGGAGTTTGGTGTTTGGTTATCAAAGGTGGAATCAAGTTTTTCATCATTGATATGAGAAAGATATTTGCAAACAAAAAAAGCAAACAACAGAAACAGTAAAAGAAAAATAGGAGAAATCGGTATGTTTTTTCATGGTAGGCATATGGTAGGCCCTGTTATGTCTTTGGTAAAAAGCATAATTTGCATTTATAGTGCAGTTATGAAATACAGAAGTATTTCTTCTGAACATATGGAATATATTGTCCTTTAAATTTTAATATAACATATTACTCAAATTGAATCAATTTCAATAACAATCATGAGTTTTTAATTAAGTTGTAGCTCTATCACATTTTCAGTGGTATAACTCAGCTTATGGTGATACAAAGAACAATATTGATTATTTATGACCTGCTGACAGAATTAAAATTAATTAATGTCAACTTCTGAAAATATTAAAAAGGAAAAACAAGATTTTCTTGTCCCCTGGGAAAGGTGAGGGAAAATAATTTTTTTTGTGTGTGTGGGGATAAAATTGTGATTTTACTTTGTGAATACAGATATTTAAAGCATACTGAAAAACTGTTTTAACTGACAGAAATAGTTAGTGAATCTATATAAATTTACAGAGGTTGGAAGGAGTCAAACAGTAATTTTACTCTTTCTGTATTGAGTCTAAAGTGTAAAAAGTTAAAACTGTAGAACTGAAAGAAATGCTGTGTATGCTGGGCTGTCATGTTAATTAAATAAACAACTGGAACAGTGACTCTGTGTATGAAATACATTTTGAAAAGCCTGGGGGAGGGGGTGCAGGCAGGCAAGGGTGAGTGACACTGGCATGAAAAAACATTCATTATATCTATAGTGACATTTGTGTAAATTTGTTGTATTATATTAGGAATACAGCTCTGAGAATAATCTCTTCAGGACTTTAGTTGAATAAAGGCTTTACCAAATTTAATTGCACTTCTGTGTTAAATAAGTTCTTATTTATTATGTTGAATGTTTATGAGCCTTAAAAATAGGATGTTTATGAGCCTCAAAATTAGAAATATGCCTATATATTATATTTTAAGATTTTTCAGTTAATGTGGTTTGTGCTAGTAACAGCCCGATAGAGCCTATGTAAATGTCATTGAAACTGGTGCTATTTAATCTGTTAAAAAAAAAATGAGTTTATCTTGGATTTAAGGTGGGAGTTGTATTTTTCAGAAAACCTTATTGTGGTGAGATATAATCTCATAGATGAAGGTAATCAATGCAACTATTTTATCATGTGGTTTCTGAAGAGATTTTGACACACCTAAGCA